TGATTTCTGGTAATGACTGAAAACACTGAAGACTTCCAGTAACAATAGTTTGACCATTTATGGTTTAAAACCTAGTCCCTTTGGTAAAACTAGTAAAATTTAAGAGTCTCTCTCCCCTTCCTTCCTGTTGATCTGGTGAGTCAGTTGTGCAATTGTTCCTGTTGGTCTTTGGTTTCTCAGGGGTGCCTCCTCAGATATCTTTGGGTCTAGCACTTTACCTTTGTGTTCATTGCTGAAATGTGCCCAGTTGGTTGTAAATCTCACCCCATTTCCTGGCAAAGCAATATATTGTGGCTTTGTGCTTCCTTGGCCCTACGAGGACTCTCACTGGGACTGCTGGTCTGCCTAGACTCCGCCACGTCTTCCATCTACCCCTCCTCCTTTAGGATCTCCCATCCACAGCCTTGTATTGAGATAATCCTCTTCCCAATATCCTGACAAACATACCAATTCTTGATTATCAAGAATTGTTGGAACATTTCTAAGTTTCCTTGTGCTAACATCAGAGCTCAAGAAGAGTGTGGGGATAACGAATGTTTCAAGAATTCAGTTCCAAGAGACACTACTTGAGGCAAATTACATTTTCCATTGAGGTTGCTGCCAAAGTAAGTCAAAGAAAGGTAAAACACAGCAGCTTCAAAAGTGCCTTGCTCAAAAAAAAAAAAAAAACGTTGTTCAGAATTATCATCAGATACTGTAATGTGCATCAATTGTTTACTTTCTAAAATTTTAACCACATACACAAAAAGAAAATCCTCATTAACTCAGGAAAAGAAAAAAAAATATAAGGCACTGTTACATATATTAGGTCATCTAATACAAATATATTACATCTTTAAACACTTTTAATAAGTACATAATTTTATTTTTTCTAGTTAGTGTACACGTATAAAGGTTGCTTACCACTTACTTGATAGGTTATTGCAATAACCTGAATGCCTAGCCTGAAATGATTATAGGAAAAATGGGGAAAAGAAGAAACTGCTCTGACAAGTATAGATTGCTGTAGGAAGCCCTGGGCTTTAAACATCCAGGGGAAAAAAATGTGCGGTAGGTCACTAGCCAAGTTTTTAGCATATTTATTTAACTACAGGTGTAGCATAAAGATGAACTTCAAAATTATGAGAAATTAAGTATTCTGTGTTGGTCTACTCTTTTAAATTTCAATGTTCCTCTTCTTAACTGAAATGTCTCAAACCTCTTCATATTTTACATCCGTTTTTTTTACTTTTTTTTTTTTTTTTTTTGAGATGGAGTCTTGCTCTGTTACCCAGCTGGAGTGCAGTGGCACAATCTCGGCTCACTGCAACTTCTGCCTCCTGGGTTTAAGCGATTCTTGTGTGTCAGCCTCTTGAGTAGCTAGGATTACAGGCATGCTCTATCATGCCCGACTAATTTTTCTTACAGGGTTTGACCATGTTGGTCAGGCTGGTCTCCAACTCCTGGCCTCAAGTGATCTGCCCTCCTCAGACTCCGAAAGTGCTTGGATTACAGGCATGAACCACCACTCCCACCTCCAAAACTTGTTTCCAGATAAATTTGGACCATAGACAACATGTTGCATACATTAAGATGTATGAAAGAAACTGCAAGCACTGATGCAATGGTACATACATAGAGCTTGGGTTTAGTTATCGAGAGCATGTATAAGCTCATATTTGTGTGATTTCCTAGATGTGTTCTCATAGTCCCTTAAATAGTAATCAGAAGATTTGAGGAAGTGCATATTGTTTGAGATTATGAGGAAGTAGGGAACATAGTATTTGTTAGCTCCTCATCATTGCTTTTGTACCTATTTATTTTAAGTTTTGGAACTGGATCATCCCCAACAAGCACTAAGCATCCTCTATCCTCACTCAGCAGTGCCCAGTATGTATTTCATTTTCAAAGTCGTATGTAGAACATGAGAGAAACAAATAGCAGTATTTGCGCCATGCTATGTGTCAGCAGGCCTTTCTTGATCATTATGGTGATGTTTTTCCTCCCTAAATAATTTTTACAAATATACTGATGAAGATAGATTTCTGTTATCTATCTTCAATGGGTCATAAGTTGAACTAGCACTATATTTTTTTCTGAAAATATGCACAATTGTGACATGGTGTTTAACAGTCTTAAACTTACCGCTGCCAAAATAAACACAGCTGTAAGAAATGATGACCCTCTTATCTTTGTAACAATAAAATAGCTTCCTAAGGTGCTTCCCTAACTCTGACTGTTATGTTAATATCCCTTGGATTTCTGAGCCCCATCCTATTCCCCCCGCGGAAACCCCATGAAGAATACAGCGTTTGACCGAATGACAGAGCATAGAGGATGAAATTAGCTGCATTAAATTAGACAAAAAGCCTTTCTAAATCTTTGTCACAGTGCAACATTCAAGCAATGTTAAACCAAACAGTACAAGTAGACCAAGGAAGAGAGTTAATATTTTGAAAAGAAATTTGATAAACTAGATCACTTGCAAATTTGAAAAGGTCATTGATAGATAGCATGTGAGCTGGGGCGGTTTGTAACTTGGGGAGCCTACTCTACAGTCACATGTGCAGTCTCTTCTTGTTCAATCTTTGGATATGAAATTAACTGTACCAACAGTTTTATTGGTTTTCTTATATTTCTAATAAAAGCAAGTCTTCATTGCTAAAGGCTGCATTCAAGAAAATAATGGGGAAAGTATGATGAGTAAGATTCCCATTTCTGTGCAGTGTTTCTTGTTTTCCTATTTCTAAGTATGTGCATTTAAACAAGAGCATACATTTTGTAAATTGGCATTAAGATAAATTGTCTTCTAAAAAGAGAACGCAAGGTCTTTCCTTTATTTCTATCATAACTTCGATTTAACAGTTTTTCCCCTGAAAGATCTGAGTTTTATTTTTGAAGTTTAATTCTACCATGTTGGGTTGTGGGAAAATAAAAGTCTCTGATAGGGTTAATCTAGCTACATCAAAGTCCATGCTGGGTATGATCATAATCTTGATCTTTGATTAGATCTGAGCTAGTAATATCTTGTGATTAATCAAAATGGGTTGCATTGCATGTAGCACAAGTCATCTTCCCAGATGGGCTCCAGAATCAGAGTTCTTTTGGAATGTTTGTTTTAATCCTATCTAGGATAAAATGGCTTTGTTTTCTGTTTTTCTTTTTACCTTTTTTACTTTAAATCAGATTGAGTTCACCAAATACATAACTAGGAAGAAATTTTCAAGTATAGTCTTGCCAAGATCACAGAACAACAAAGAAAAAACTTGTTTTTTAATGGATAGTTTTCTGAAGGATGCTTTGTACATTGAAAAATACAAATTAGTAAAATTTAACAAATAATCTTATTCATTTGTAGTTCGAACAAAAAACGTTATGAAAGAATATATTAAAATAGACCTCAAAGAAATAATATGGAGATTTTCATAATTCTCAACTTAAGGTTATTGTTTCTCTTCTGATCATGCATTTCCAGTCTAATTCACATCTGATAACAAAGAGCTTTACTTTGGCAACTAAACTATCCAACGTCTAACACCCAAGGCACAGCAAGAGGCCTCAGATTCACATGTACAATGTCTGTTAGCTCTAACAAGTGAGCGCTTTGATGGTTTTTTTCTTCCCTAGGTGCACAGGTTGACTGACTAATGTTCCTGTAGGGGTCAGAGTGCAGCTGTGGGACTCCAGGTCTTGCATCCTGGTGCTCAGCTTGTCCTTACATAGTTTCATGACTTTAGGGAAATTTGTTGACCTCTTAGGCCTTGAGAACTCTTACCTGTAAAAATGAGAAATTGCATGAAAGCCTCCAGAATGCCATCTAGTTCTAAACTCGGTGATCAGTCAATTCAGTGAAAAATTGCACAATAAGTACTTCAATATGACTTGCACATCCTAAAGAACACATCTCCATTTACTATGTTAAGTACACTTAAGCGGTTTAAAAATCCTCAAATTCCGTAATGCATTGTCCCTCCACACCTTTATGGCATAAGAATATAATTGAAGGTTTCTTAAGATTTAAAAAAAAGAAAAAAACTTGAAGCCTTTATTTGTGGAAAGACCTAAATGCCTGTAAATGAGTTGGAATTTAAAATGAAGTAGAGTTAGTCTTACTTGGTCTACACACATTAAAAAACACTATGCTAAATAGAAAACAAAATAATCAGTAATTAAAATACATTGTTTAATGGTTTCTGACAGCAGCTTGACTAGAACTTAGATTTGGCCTGTTCCACTGCACATCACCAAGCACATAGTAGAAAATGCAAATATTAGTCAAAACTAAGTTTAAGTCTTATTGACTAAATTGATCAAGCAGCATTTGTACCATGACTTGTGAAAGACCAATAAAATCAGGCAGCTGATCATTTGTTTTTTTATCAGTATTATACCAAACTAACAATATTATAGAGTAAATTATGTCAAACAGTTGATTTAGTTTCCTAGAGATCCCCATAGTCACAGGTACCTACTTATGATGATGGAAAACAGAATAAGAAATAAATAAAACGGATTGTAATGTAACTATTAAGCAGCCATACAGGCCTTGCAAGACACAATTCCTTCAAAAATTTGCTCATCAGGATGCAAAGGCATAAGAATGACATAATGGACTTTGCGGACTCAGTGGAGGGGGCTCGGGAAAGGCTGGGATGGGGGTGAGGAATAAAAGACTACACATTGGGTACAGTTGCACTGCTTGGGTGATGAGTGAACCAAAATCTGAGAAATCACAACTAAAGAACTTGTCCTTGTAACCAGAAACTACCTGATCCCCTAAAACTATTGAAATAAAAAGTTGCTCACCAGAAGTTATGCATTGAATCATACATACTGGAGAACCTCAGTAAACTCATGACTATGATGAAATAAGAATCAATGAGTAAGAGAATAGAAAAAAGCAGTGCAATTCATGCATTAAACTTCTAGATTCAATAAATAACCCTCCTGTATTAGAATAAGAATGATTTGATTTTTTTTTTCATTCTTTTATCTTTTTTTTTTTTTTTTTTTTCTTATAGGAGACCCGGTGAGCCTCCACTGATAAAAGGTTGGCTTCCTTATTTTGGAGTGGTCCTGGAATTACGAAAAGACCCCTTAAGGTTCATGAAAACTCTTCAAAAGCAACATGGTGACACTTTCACTGTTCTTCTTGGTGGTAAGAAGTTCTTTTATAAATGCCTTATATATGATGTAATTTTTCACTTTAATGTCTTTCTGTTTTTCTCCAGGCAAAATGTAGAAAATGTAGAATATTTGTATATTTTTGTTTTATTTTGTAGAGTTAATGTGAAAGAAAATTATTTTTAGTTCGGCAATCCTCACATTAAAAATTAAATTACAGCCCTCTCTTCATGGTACTTAGGGAACCTAGCTCGCCAGCCATCGCCTGTCATTTTGGTTTGGTTTTAAGAATGGTAAAAAGAAAAAATATATATATGTATGTGTGTGTGTGTGTGTGTGTGTGTATATGTGTGTGTGTGTGTGTGTGTGTGTAACTATACAAAAGCTAGAATGTATTTTTAAAATTAATGGTCTTTGTAGAGCAGTTTTAAGTTTACAGAAAATTTAGTAGTTTAGAGAGTTCCTATATACCCCCCTCTCCAATCACAGTTTCCCTCATTCTATCTATGTAGTATATTTGTTACAACTGATGAGCCAGTATTGATCCATTATTAAAAATTCATAATTTACATTACAGTCTACCCTTGTGTTGTGTAGTTCTTTGGGTTTTCACAAATGTATAATGACATGTATCCACCATCAGAGTATCATATGGAGTAGCTTTACTCCCCTAAAAATTTCCTATGCTTCACCTATTCATTCTTCTTTCCCTGCCTCTGAGTCTCCAGCAACAACTGGTCAAGAATGTATTTTTCATTTTAAAACTTTCATTGCCCTTTGAACTTTAATAAAATACATACCAAAACACCCAGACAAATGAAGCAAAAACCAGTAAGACTGCTACACACCCCAAACATTCTAGGACTGAGAGGAGAAGCTGGATTGCTCCTAGCTCACTTTTTTTTTTAGGACCCAAACTATCTAGCTGTATCAGCTATCTATTGCTGAGTAACAAAAAGTTTAATGACTTAAAGAAACAACTGGTCTGGCCTGAGTCACTTGTGTGGCTTGACTCATCTGGACTCTGGATGGGGGCTGGGTGATCCAAGATGGTCTCATCACGTGCCTGGGTGGGCCGCCTTGTCCACATGGTCTTTCATCCTCAAGAAAAGTTCCTTACATGTCAGTTAGTGTCTCAAGAGATTGACAGAAAAAGCTGCAAGTTCTCTTGAGGCCTAGGCACAGATATTGCAAAACCTCATTTCCACCACATTCTATTAGTTAGAGCGAGTCACAGTGCAGCCCAGATTCAAAGGCAGGGAAAGAGACTCCACCTCTCCCTGGAAAGATTGGCAGAGTCACATTGCATGGGAGCACATATAGAGAGATGGAAGGAATTCATCATAGCCATCTTTGTGCCCAATCTTCCACATCAGTTTATGGCCCATGCTAGCTATGCTCTCTCTTTGCTGCTGCATGTCCTGTCTATGCTCTGAAAGCCGATTGCTACACATGAGATTACCCACACTCCTTTGCTTGCTGAATATGGCCAGTGGGAGGGCAAGAAGAGGCTGAGTCTCACTCCCCACTCTCAATGGGGCTCTGGTAACACTCCAGAATTTCACTCTCCTTCCTTCATAAGGTAACTGAAGACATCCAGTATAATATCCCTCAGATATCTACCAAACATACCAACATTTCCCAATGATCTACCACCTTTTCTCTAATTTTGAAGAATGTTCAAGACACTCCATCTCCAGGTCCCCATGACCTTTTCTTCCTGCCTCCTCTGGGCTGGTACATCTTGACTCATTCCTCCCACACATGCATTCTTCATGTTTTAATTACTTGGGTTTTTCCCATCGCTTATAACCATGCCTAAGGTTCTCCTCTAGTTACTTTCTCCTTTTCTTTTGCATCCAGCTCTTTCAAGAGATTTGCATTTATTTGCTGTCTCTAGTTGTATATCTCCTAGAGCCCTCCTAACTATAACCAGCCTTCAGCATTACTGAAGTTATTCCTTGGTCCACCTATGTAGACCTCTCTACAGTGCTGATCTCTTGTTCCTTCCTGAAATACTCTACTATTCCTTTACTCCCCTCACTGCCCCTTCTCGTTCTTTATCTTGGTCTTCTACATGCATGCCTTTTCTTAGCTCAAGTCTTAAACCTTCCTTCAACCAGCTTTGGAAGTTTTTGCTCTATTCTTAGAGAGCCGTAATTTTTTTCTGCCTGTAACTACTTTGCTGAGGGTCAGAGGCAAACTTTGGAAACCACAGTGACTTAATTTCAGTGCTACCATTTTAACACAGTATTTGGGAGAAATGATAGAAATGGAGGAAATTATCAGCATGATTGACTTCTCCCATGGATAGACAGTACCAGTTTCATCAAAACTTACTCCTTTGCCTGGAAGCTGGCTAAGTCTCTTTCAGAAATAATTGTATACACTCTGATTTAAGAAAAATTAACATGGAAAAAAATCATGCATCTTAGAAACAGAGGGATTGTAGTATATACCAGAGTCTTCATGAGGTTCCCCAAGATCGGGTCTTCACTGGCCTTTCCATCCCAGTCTCTTCCTGCTGCTCACCTTGTGCTTCACACACTGTGAATGCACCATGTTGTTTGAAATTCCCTCCTTACACACCAAACACAGTGGGGCCTCAGGTTTTCTTTCTCTTGCTCTTCTTTCTGCCAGAATATTGGTGTTTACTTCACAGACATGGACTCATCTTTTCAGGCCAGAGTCACACATTAATTCCTCTCAAGAGCCTTTGCTGACTCCTCCTATGTTTGGTGCCTCATCTCCAGGGTCCAGTTACTCCCAGTATCACTTCTGTAGGAGCATTTAATATATTGTGAATTTATTGCCAATTCACTTATCTGTCTCCCTTCATTATTCTGTTAGCTTCTCTACTGTCAACATTTAGTCTAGAGCTCAGAACGGACTGATTATCAACAAATATTAGCTGGGGAAACCCCTAATACCTTAGAGCTGATGAAACACTGGAATACTGTACAAATAAAGACCTGAGCTGGTGCTTCTCCTCTAAGTGAGCCTTGGGCTTTATGGCATCAGAAACATATTGTTCATTCTTACTTTAAATAATGCTGATATTTCTAATGAGTAGATAGAACAAGTAATTAAAATGTTCAGTTTTTCTTTTTTTAATAACAGTGTACAAAAATAACCAAAGATGATTATGCAGAAAGTTGTGGCAGATTTGAATAACTTTATTCACTTTCCAAAAAATAGCCAATTTTTGCTGACACTTGATTTCTTAAGCTCATGTACCACGAAGCTGCTGAATTTCTAACATCTAAATAATTTGACCATGGTTATGTTTTTGAACTCTGCATTAGACAACTACAGTTAAATGTGCACAATACCTCCCTGTTGCTTCTTACTTGAATTTGAATAAATTCTTGTCAAGGAATCCTGTTAATGTATATCATTCTAACAATCAGTTTTCAAAGGAGCTCATTTAGAAAATGTGAAATGAAGAACAAAGTCTTCTGCTCTTGTCTCATAATGTGATTTCACTGAGTGTATGTTCTTGCATGATGGGCAAATGATTGTCATCCCCAAAAGTCTCAAGGGACACAGATGTCATCTTAATAAAGAAATTAAAAGGTACATCTTTTCATGAGAAACCATGTAAATTCTTGACCTGTCTCAGAAAATAGTTCTCTAATTGGTTTTGTGTGGTGCTGCAGCGGAATCATTTTCCCTAGATGTCACCCCAGCAAAGCACCACTGTACATCACTGTCAGCAGCTAGTGAAATCTTCCTAATAAGAGAGGGGATATGTACATGTGGCCATCCTCATAAAGTACAAAGTTGACTCATATTTCAGTCTCCCAACTGGTATTTTCAGCTTGAGATTAAAAAAAATTCTTTTGAAAAACAAACTAACCACAGAGATTAAAAGCGTCTAATGATGAAAATTGTTAAAATTCAAATTTGTCTCTTTTTTTTTTGGAGATAGGGTCTCCCTCTGTCACCCATGCTGGAGTGTAGTAGCATAATTATAATTCACTGCAGCTCTAAATTTCTGGGCTCAAGTGATCTTCCCACCTTGGATTCCTGAGTAGCTGGGACACAGGTGTGTGCCACCACACTTGGCTAATTTTTTTAAGGATTTTCTTTTGTAGAGATGGGGTGTCCCTATGTTGCCCAGGTTTGTCTTGAACTCCTGACCTCAAGTGATCCTCTGGCCTTCATTATATCTTTTTTGTATGGGACACTTCTATGCCAAGCAGCCAATTCTCATGGATATCTCTTTGTATAGCACCAAATATCTGAAATTAAAACATCAAAATTCAATTTATAATGATCCAGCTGTCAAAACTTTTTGTTTGACATTAGGGTGAATGACTGAATTTTTTAAAATGCATTTATCAGCATACTTTGAATTACGTAGCTTTACCTTCCTAAGGAATTAATTTTAAAGGAAGTGGAAAAGCTACTGAGGTGATGAAGGCTCTTGTGCAGGTTGTACAGGAATGCTAGAGTTAATATTGTCAGGCCAGTTAGCTCCTAAAAAGGGAAGAGAATGAAATGATTGGCAAGGAAAATGTCAGAAATTTTGACCCAACTTCAAATTACTGCATCTAATAATGATTTATATTGTATTTTTTTGCAGATATGGACCCCATTTTGACATTTATGTTTTAGACAAATGGAAATTCTGAAATTCTTTAAATCAATATTTCATATCAACTGCTGACAGCATTCTCTTCTCTTTGGAAAACATGGCAAAGGGTGTTTTTTTTGCCTTGTGATCTTTGTAAACTAGGTAACATGCCTGCTGACACTGGCCATTCATTTACATAAAATCACACTGGAGCAAAAGTTAATTTTGCTGCAAGAATACACAGCCTTCAGAATACCTTTTCAGAAGATTTCCTTTGTTAGGAAATTTAAATTCATTTTATGAATGTATATGAGTTTTCCTAACTGTCTGATTAAAGATCACAAAGAAACTCTGGTTTTGCATCTCACATTAGCAGATGGTGGACAGATGGTTTAAATTAATATTAATTTTGGAAAACTTAGCTTAAATTGTTTATACTGAAGATTAAAAGTTGGAAAGCCAGCTAACATCTCCAGGGTTATTAGTACTTCCAAACCCACTTGAAAAGTAAAATCCAGAAAATCAAAACATCTTCTTCTAAATCAATTCACATCTCAATCAAAAAGATAGTAGGTAAAACACAAAGCCTTGATGTTGAAGGACACTGAAATAAGAATGAGAAAGAGAAAATACAGATCCTAGAGTGAATAGCTCCCTGAAAGGAGTGAGATTAGATCTACAAACAAAGCTAATCAGTACTGATTTTCATAAAGAACCAATATACAAACAACTGCTTATATTTTTTAAAAAACAATATATTAATAATTTGTTGCTAACACGAACCATTTTATTCACACTCAACTTTTATTCCTTTTATTTGAAGTTAACCTCATTGTTTTTTTCCAGGCCCTCATTCCCAAAGGGGTGGTGATAGGAGAGAGGAGGAAATAGAGAAAGAGAGAGCTGGCCGGACGCGGTGGCTCAAGCCTGTAATCCCAGCACTTTGGAAGGCCGAGGCGGGTGGATCACGAGGTCAAGAGATCGAGACCATCCTGGTCAACATGGTGAAACCCCGTCTCTACTAAAAATACAAAAAATTAGCTGGGCGTGGTGGCGCATGCCTGTAATCCCAGCTACTCAGGAGGCTGAGGCAGGAGAATTGCCTGAGCCCAGGAGGCGGAGGTTGCGGTGAGCCGAGATCGCGCCATTGCACTCCAGCCTGGGTAACAAGAGCAAAACTCCGTCTCAAAAAAAAAAAAAAAAAAAGAGAAAGAGAGAGAACAAGAATGAATGTGTGTATTTGTAATTATTATAGACAAAACAAAAAATGTAAGAGGCATACAGCCTCTACTTCAATAGGCCCAATAACAGGTAGCTCATGATGTCATGTCTGAGTATAGTTTTCTCTTTCCACTTAGATTTAGATGAATATAGAAAACTGTAGGAAAAACTTCAAAATATTCTCTAAAGATTTGTGTTTTACAAATTGTATCTTTAATACACTCTCTTAATATTAGGGATTAATTTAAAATAACTCCAAAGATAGTTAGCAAAATCCTTTTATTTAGTGAAAGGAGAAAAGTATGAGTCACCACCTGTGAAAATACACAACTTTGCCTAAGATTCTATCTTTTGCAAAATGAGAGAATTGATTTTTTTTCCAATTATTTGTCAGGCAGATGCTGGCAATTTTACTTAATTAAGCTGCTATGGCAAAACAGGTGTCATAAAATATGCCTAAATCAGGTTGACTCCTTTATGCTCTCCCCAGAGCGCGCACACGCACACACACACATAAATTTAGTTTACCTTGTAGAAGTCAGCTTTGGGATCTGACCAGAATGAATAGCCACTTCTTGGTTTACTTACATTCCTAGATCCCCTCACATTATTGACTTAATCAAGGGGAAAATGAGTGAATAAAATTCAAGTCATCGAGTCATTTTTAGAAACAAATCATAGCACAACACATGTATGTTCATCTATATTAAAAATTTAAGTTGTGTTTCAAAATTGTGAGACAAAAACATATTAATCTGTTTCTAGGATTAGGTTGAAAATTATTTCAAAACTGTATTTGAAATATATTGTACCAAATTGAATTAAATTTCCGTGATGCCGTTTGAGTTACCATAAATAACAAGTGAGAAGTTGTTCTGCTGACAAAGCAACACACACATACACACACAGGAATAATGACATGAAGACAATAAATAAGTAGATGTTAAAGTTTTTAGGATCATCTAAAGTTTATGCCAGTTCTCTATAGGAAAAACATTAAATGTCATTGAATACTATCTGCTTAGTATTTCTAATTAGAAGGAATCTTAAAACAGCACACCAGTGAGAAGACAAAGAATAGTGCATGGGGAGTAAATTCTCACCAAGGATCTGCCACTGAACATGGCAGCATGATCTTGACCATTAACCTCTCTTGACTTTCTTCACCTTTATCAACTGATACATTCGAGGGTACGCTAGCAATTCTTCAAGGTCTCTGCCAATTTTGAGAGATAGCCCGTAGTATGACCGTGTTCCTCAAAGTGCCTCATTATAAGAATCACTTGAGCCGGGCGCGGTGGCTCAAGCCTGTAATCCCAGCACTTTGGGAGGCCAAGGCGAGTGGATCACAAGGTCAAGAGATCGAGACCATCCTGGTCAACATGGTGAAACCCCGTCTCTACTAAAAATACAAAAAATTAGCTGGGCATGGTGGGGCTTGCCTGTAATCCCAGCTACTTGGGAGGTTGAGGCAGGAGAATTGCCTGAACCCAGGAGGCAGAGGTTGAGGTGAGCCAAGATCGCGCCATTGCACTCCAGCCTGGGTAACAAGAGCAAAACTCCGTCTCAAAAAAAAAAAAAAAAAAAATCACTTGAGGACCTTATCAAAAAGGACACTTGCAGGACCCCCTCCAAACCTTTTGAATCAGAATCTTGCAGGAATCTATTTTTCACAAGCATCCCAACTTTTTAAATCGTAAGTTTGGACAACGCTGATGTGTGGAAAAGGCAAATGTCACCACCTCAAGGAACCCTTGCTGATAACTTCAGGCAGACTGAAGCAAATTCCACTCTCTGCTTCCCTTATGCTGTGTTTTACCTCTGCCATGGCACAATTCATAGAGATGCAATGATTTCTCTACATCATTGTATCTCTAGAGGAAAGGGATCCAACCGAGTGTCTGGATCTTAATAAATGTGGTGAATGAATTTCTGAATCAATGGATGTATGGATGTGTTCTAGTTTGGAATCCTGTGTCAGTCACGAGTCAATATGTGACTTTGAACATGTTATCTAATCTCCCTCATCTATAAAAATGAAAATTCTGGCATTTGTGGATTTTTGCTAGTATTGACATTTATTTGTGAGTACTTGCTCCATACAGTGTGGTCATTTATTTGAGTTAAAATTATTGTACTTGAACAAAACTGAGATGACACCTAAGTATGAAAAGGCTGTTTATGAAGTATATACTCAGAAATGGAATGGCGTGTTTAAATTTTTTTTCTGTTTTACTGAGGGAAAAATATGAGAAGTATTTAAGTCAAGGGATTATGAGAATATTTAAAGGATATTTAAAATGTTCAGGTACTTTTTAGTTAAAATAAAAATTTGAAGAGTAAACCATCTTTTGACAGGTTAGTAAGAACTTCAGGATATTTAACTTCATGTTTCTAGAGTGTTTTCCACCATCTTCCATTTTAAAAAGGAAACATGTAGTGTACTTTTGAATGAAATGGATTAGTATTAAACTTTGTGCCTTAGTTACTAGGATCTTCCTAATTTTAATTAAAATATTTTTAAACTTGTGATCTTTATTTCTGTTTTATTAACAAATGAACTCATATTCTCTCTTTCTCTCTCTCTTTTTTTTTTAGGGAAGTACATAACATTTATCCTGGACCCCTTGCAGTATCAGCTAGTGATAAAAAATCAGAAACAATTAAGCTTTAGAGTATTTTCTGATGAATTAGTAGGTAAAGCATTTAGCGTCAGTCAGTTGCAAAAAAATCATAACATGAATGATGAGCTTCACCTCTGCTATCAATTTTTGCAAGGCAAGTCTTTGGACATACTCTTGGAAAGCATGATGCAGAATCTCAAACAAGTGTTTGAATCCCAGCTATTAAAAACCACAAGTTGGGACACGGTACAATTGTATGCATTCTGCAGCTCAATAATATTTGATATCACATTTACAACTATATATGGAAAACTTGTTTGTGACAACAACAAATTTGTTAATGAGCTAAGAGATGATTTTTTAAAATTTGATGACAATTTTACATATTTAGTATCTGACATACCCATTGAGCTTCTAGGAAATATCAAGTCTATTAGGAAGAAAATTATAAAATGCTTGTCATCAGAAAACTTAGCCAAGATGCAAGGATGGTCAGAAATTTTACAAAGCAGGCAAGATGTCCTAGAGAAATACTATGTGCATGAGGACCTTGAAATAGGAGGTAAGAACTTCTGAGTGAGTACTTGGCCTAAAACAAAATAATTTACAATAGACCTTTGAAATAAAAAGATAAAATGACGACCTTGAAAATTTTTTATGCTCTTTCTAATTGGCTAATGATAAAATGTTTTACTCTGATACTACCGTCTGTGATAATTGATTTTTTTTTTTTTTTTTTTTTTTTTTTTTTGCTGAGGTGGTAAAACAAGATACTTAATGGTGATAATGAGAAAGAGTATAACTAAGCTGCATTTACTCCTCTTATCTCATCCACCACCACCTCGCCCCCCCATACGCATTACATTTTAAACTATTCTCATTAAGCAGAAAATTAGACTTCAGAAGCCTATTGGTTCTCATTAGCATGCACTGATCCTTGGCTGGGTCTGTGTCCTAACATCTTTTAATTAGCACACTGCAAATCTAATCAGTGTAATAAACGCTATTAATCTTCCTTTTCACTTATTTTCTCCCAGCACATCATTTAGGCTTTCTCTGGGCCTCTGTGGCAAACACTATTCCAGCTATGTTCTGGGCAATGTATTATCTTCTGCGGCACCCAGAAGCAATGGCAGCAGTGCGTGACGAAATTGACCGTTTGCTGCAGTCAACAGGTCAAAAGAAAGGGTCTGGATTTCCCATCTACCTCACCAGAGAACAATTGGACAGCCTGATCTGCCTAGGTAATTTATTTTTATCTGTTATGAAGAAAAGAAGGTACCTTTCTGCAAACTCAGTTTATCACTCATAGCTGTTTACCAAGAGGTAGAGGACACAGCTGCCTAATTGACATAATAACACCCATTTACATCAATTATAAATTATGTAGTTTATAGCCGTAGATACTTTCATTGCATGTAAACATTAAGGCCTAGGTAATTAACTATGCAAGGTATGCAAAAGGCTAAACCAAAGCTTTGCAATTACTTGAAAAAAAAGTTTATGCCTATTAAATCATTTGATTCTGAGCATCTGTTGATGTGCTAATGCTTTCCAAACACTGCTGCACTATCTCGTCAAGAAGTATTTGGGGACCAAAAAAGAAAGTATTGCAAAAGGCACCCTGTGTGCGAGTTGTATTTCTTCCCCTAAATGATGTCTGTATTTTCAAGCCCAGGTTAGAGTGTTTTATGGAGTGTGTGATTCTCAAAAATATAGAAAAAATGTTTTCCACTGGAAGTTAATGATTTAAACACAAAAAAAAGAAAGGAAGGAAAAGATAGAAAAGAAGAAAGGAAGGAGGGAGGAAGGGAAGGAAGGCAGGAAGGGAGCAAAAGAAAAGAAAAAGCAACAACTACAAACTAATTCTGTGAAACGCTGATATTTTATAACATATTCACTGACTCATGAGATACACATGGTCACTATTTCAAGTATGTTTGAGGTTGATCGTGGCTAAGGTTTTTTTCTATTTCTACATAGACCTGTACCTCAATAACTGGAGCTTTTGATTGCAGCAGATTTTGTTCCCCTTTACTACTTTGAGAAGGCTGTTCACTGCCGTTACCTGATTGAATGTCTACTGCCAAAGTTAAATTCCATCTCAATGAGTTATTCCCTATTCCTTCTGTATTGACATTTCATCTTGCAGTATCCTTTAGGATATAATATTCCAAGTCTCTTTGGACAAATGCAGGAACGAGTGTTTACGTATGTCTGTTTCTTCACTCCTTTGACAATGTAGACAAGTATTTTAGCCTATGTTGGTCTCAATATTTTATCTTTTAAAAATATGTTCCAGGGTCTTTGATGGGAACTTTCAGGAGCAAAAGCCCTCCCAGGTTTGGTCCATGTTCACAGTCAGTGGGCATTGAGAAAAATAGCCCAAGAGTTCTAGAGATTGTCCTCACTTCTCAGGTTAAGGCCCACTGAGACAATGCCTGAAAGCATGCCTTATACTAGCAGTCAATCAGGAAAAATGTGTTGCCTTATACTTTGTGTCTTTAGCATAGGTCATCAAATAAATTTTATATTTTCTTTAAAAAATCTCAACATTGGCCGGGCTCAGTGGCTCACGCCTATAATCCCAGCACTTTGGGAGGCTGAGGCGGGTGGATCACGAGGTCAAGAGATCGAGACCATCCTGGTCAACATGGTGAAACCCCGTCTCTACTAAAAATACAAAAATTAGCCAGGCATGGTGGCACACGCCTGTAGTCCCAGCTACTCGGGAGACTGAGGCAGGAGAATTGCCTGAACCCAGGAGGCGGAGGTTGCGGTGAGCCAAGATCGCGCCATTGCACTCCAGCCTGGGTAACAGGAGCGAAACTCTGTCTCAAAAAAAAAAAAAAAAAAAAAAATCTCAACATTACTAAAATACAAATATCCTTTTATTTTTGTTTGCAAAATTATTGGGGAACAAACAGAAAATTTGTGTAAAATTTTGGATAGTTGCTCCACTGGCATAAACAGTATTTTCTGGCAGATTTTTAATTTCTATCAAGATCTACATTGCATTTCCCATATATTCAAACAGTTTCCATTGCATTTCATGAATAAGATGATGCATACTGGAAAGTAAGGCAAATACACCTCAAAGAATATATGTTTGTATTCTGTGTAGTTATTACTCTTATAAAAATTAGTTGTAATTCATCAACTCTCTTTTTACTCTCAACTTTTTGCTATTAGAAGAAAAGGTCATTTTTAAATTTCAGTATTAAAGCAGAAACATTTACATTTATTAGACTAGAAGAAATTGTAGATTCCAGAACTATAATTTGAGTCCATTTAAGCCCATAGCTAGAGCTAGAGATTTTCATTCTTGAATCTCTCATGAATTTACAAGTCTCCTATCATTAATAAATGAATAAAAACAATAAAAATCCCAAGCAAGTTTATATCCACCTGGATAAAGGCAGTGCCTTCAGCAGCCCGGATGGTTCATCATGACCTCGGTTACCAGCAGAGGCCAGTGTTGTTCATTACGAGAATTTAAAATGATGGGGCCGAATATGATCTAAAAAATAGTATTTTTTTTCTTTCACAAGATAGAAGGTTTTATACAGATTAGAGAAAACATATATGAATTAGTTACACAACAAATAACTTCTACCGATGGTCATAGCTCAGTTGTATTTCTCTATATCAAGAGCATGAACTATATGTGCAAAGGCAAGATTTATACAATTAAATATTTACCATGTGCCACATGGTATGACTCTATGTGCTTATCCTTCTTGTCTTCTTAAAAAAAAAAAAAGAGTTCTATGTATTTTAAATGCAATGTCTTTAAAAACATCTTAAACTTTTATTATTATAAGAAGAAAAAAGATAACAACAAAATGAATGCTGTACTTTTTACCAGGAAGGAGAATTTTGATACTATTACAGCAAAGAGAAAAGAAGTTCTTCTTTTTACAGAAATTTTGCATGTCAGCACACTTTGATTATGAAGCAGGATTGAGAAGGAACGTTAGACTGCCAAAGTCTGTTTAAGTAATTCAAAGCAATCATCTGCTCTAAGAGGTTATGATAGATTTGTCCTTTTTTCAATGCTCTTGAGAATCTCTCTTCAAAACCATTGTACTCTTATTTTAGGCAAAGAAAACACAATTCTTTATTTTTATGTATCTTATTAAGATTATGCTTATCATGACCTCACTAAAACCTTTTATCTATTAATAATTAGTTAAGATCACTTTAATTAAATTTAAATGAAAATTTAAAATAAGTTAGTAGATATAATGAGGTTTCAGAAATTGTTACTTGGGGCTTAAATCTCAATAGGAAAAACTGCTGGTAGAATGGAAGTTTGAGAAACTCTGAGAGAAAAGTAACAATTTTTCAATTATTCCGGAAAAAAAAAAATCTGAGGTAGAGATAGGATTTAGAACTGCATGTTTTAGATATAGGGAAAAGAAAAGTATAAAAGATAATTCAGAGAGACAAAGATAAGAAAAAAAAAGATAATGCAAGGAGTAAAAGCTCTCAAACTTGGAATTTTGATAAATCAATTGCAAATAAACTTGATGAATACCACTTCTTAACGGTTTACTTGAATAACATAGATAAATAACTTAATATAGTGGCACACAGTATAGGCTCAATAAATGTTATCTGTTGTTATCACCAAAATGACATTTAACCTCTATGATGTCCCCATATGGTTTATATTGTTTTCTTCATTTGCAATTATTTATGAACATCATACTCAAGTTGACATTACTTTATAGGAGTGCTCTTTCTATGACCCACCAGTGAAAAGAGCAAACATTCTCTTTTTTTTTTTTTTTTTTTTTTTGAGACGGAGTTTCGCTCTTGTTACCCAGGCTGGAGTGCAATGGTGTGATCTGGGCTCACCGCAACCTCCGCCTCCTGGGTTCAGGCAATTCTCCTGCCTCAGCCTCCTGAGTAGCTGGGATTACAGACATGCGCCACCATGCCCAGCTAATGTTTTGTATTTTTAGTAGAGACGGGGTTTCACCATGTTGACCAGGATGGTCTTGATCTCTTGACCTCGTGATCCACTCGCCTCGGCCTCTAAAGTGCTGGGATTACAGGCGTGAGCCACCGGCCCGGCCCCAAGAGAAAACATTCTCAAGTTTAGAATGAAAGGCAACTGCTGCATGGCTCAGGTGAATTGCAGATGCCTAATGTTGTTCAGTACCTATCCTCAAATTGAGAAAAGTTGCAAACATGGTCCACTTGAGGGATATTAAAGTAAAAGGAGCTCCCTTAAAATTGGAACTGGGCAAAATCTGTAATAGTTTTTTAAAAAAGAGAGTATTATAAATTATAACTCTAGAAGTATAAGCTTGCAGAGTCCACAGTGAAATTCAACGGAAGATTTTGAAGCCGATTGTGAGTTTTGGTGCATGGGGAATACAGAAAGGAAAAAAATTAAGGTCCTTTAATAACAAATAATAATGATCATTAGATGCAATCTATGTTATATATATTAGTGTTCTCAATATCAAAGCAATCTTATAGACATTGTTTCATGTCATCTTCACCAAGATACTCTGGAGGACAGTGGCAGCTATTATTTTGTCAGTTTTACAGATGAGAAAATTCTCAGGGTGCTAAATACTTTGTCTATTATCATGGAGATAATACAGGAGAAAGGCAGGTCTTTAACTCAGGTTTCCTGACGAGGCCCACGCTTTTCCTCTCAGGCCTGTCTGATACCAGAGCCCTGGAGATCTTTTCTCATTATCCCAGCTGAGAGGGGAGAGGAATTCTTTGTATCTCAAGTCTACAAAGCCAGCCATGATGCACATGGCCAAGATGAAGCAACATGGGCCAGAGGATCATACAGTTGGCTGAATTTTTAGCTCCATGAGAAGATATTATGAATAACATTAATAATTATTATTTGAATATGTGCCAGCCACTGTGTTGTGTTTTATGTATATTAGGTTATTTAATTCTCAAGTATTATTATTTTTGTTCAATTATTAAATAACAAGGTTCAGAAACATAACTAACTCAAGTTATACAACTAGATAGTGGCAGAACCAGAAGTTGATGCCAGGTCTAACTTTAATGCCTACCCATAATGACTGTCGCTTCAGACAAAAATTCTCTAGAAATGGATTGGAGATTTTGAGCACTATTTTTTATAAGATACATATTACTGATTCTCAAATGCAGTTGTGTTTGAGGGTAAGGATAGAACTAGCAGTGCACATGAGAATCTTGTGGGTTTTTTTTTTTAACAGAAATGAACTTTTGACTGTAG